TTACGATCGGCTTTGTGCGTTCCACAGTGATTGTCTGTGCCTGATAAAGGCATCATCGGGACGTTGAGCCAGATAGACTTCCCTTCCGAAGCGACAATACCCTGATCTGCTAATCCGCCGATCGCCTCGCCTTTTGTACGAACAACAACGTGAGATCTGTCAATTTTCGATAATGGACAATGTTGACGTTATTGCACAACGCTACTCAAAACCAACTGCTGGGCCAGGTACGCGAGATGCATGCAACATGCATTTGCATAGCGCGTGAAAAGATGCATTTTATGGATCTGCTTGCGCATCATTATACGCGATATCTTTTCCCAACTTTGCATATACATGTGCATTCCTGCATGTGCTTTGTATTAGTTAAGTGCAATCCATTGTCTGGAAGATAGATTTCTCCGTGAAATATTCATCAGTTTCAGCTGATGTATTCAAATCGGATCTCGTTTTGTCTAAAGCTTTGTTCCGCTTTCGAAATCATGTACGAGAAACACGTAAATCTCGGAATAACATGCTGAATTAGATACATATATATTTAATACATTTGTCTAGACTTTAATTAAAATTAAAAGACAGAAACGAGATGGTATATATAAAAAATCAGTTAGACTATGTTACAGAATAAACGATGAAGTTTATTACTTTACATTATATTCTAAAATATAATGTACCCGGGGATGTACCTATAGAAATTTTAAATCGCAACATGCTACTATAAATTCCTAAACAAAATTTTTCTTTATTTTATTATTACGGCGAGTTTCTATAATATATGTCGATATAATTTTCATTGTCGTGTATTATAGATAAACAAACAGACGGGCGTAAGTAATACAATACACGAGTGAGCTTCTAATAAATGCTAAACTAGGGATCCCTTTACGGGAGATGAAAGTACTTCATCCTTATTTCTCTGATCGGGTATTTCACTTTATCCACTAGCCCCTTCGACATTGAAATTCAGAAAGGTAGCCTCTAACTTTATTCGGTCGCGAGATAACACATTTTGGAACGGAGAGTATATAGAAAGTCTTGTAGAGGTTACAGAAAAGTTCATTATAAAGAACTGTCGTTCACTACGTCGCTCAACAAGAAGAAAACATTTTACGACAAACTGCAGAAGACTTTTTCAATACGTAATAAAGTTTTCTTACCGATAACTCTGTTTGTCTCGACTTTGTTGCGATCGTTCTCGTTGATTTTACTTTTATTGCAACCCGAGTCGATAAACGTTCTAATGGCAATTGGGATTTCATAAAATCTCGCACGTAATTATCGGCCTTAATGACTGTTAAGATTTGTTCGGCAGTTTAATCGGCAGGAAGCACAGCATAGAGGAAATCGAAACGCGAATAATAAAAAAATTGAGGAGGAAGGCACGAACTCTCGCCGAGAGGAAGTCCGAAACCAATTCTGGCGCCGACTAAACTTTTGTCAGTATCGGCGAGAACTTCCGGATCGATTTCGTGTGGAGAGCCCTTCTTTATACACAATCCACGGTATTCTCTTTGCTTTCGCTCTCGACAAGTTAACGAGCGTAATGCAGTGCAGTTAATTTTTTTCCACGGCACAGTGGGCTTGGGTACGCGGTACGAGAGAAGCGCGCTGGGTGCATGAAAATATGCTTCGAACATTCATTTGAGCAATTTTTAAATACTTAATAATTGCGAAGGAGGCTAACAAACCGGCGATCTTTTTGGTGCATTTTCGCGATGCATTGTTTCACGAACATATATATCGTATAATGAATCTAACATCGCGAGTATCGCAATTTTGAATTGTTCTGTTTCTTGTACGAGTATACGGAAATAATTTTTTGTTATATTTTACCGTTAAATTCACTACAAACTTGGGACAACTTGGCAACCAAGGAATTTTTGAAATATACAAAAGACATTTTACAAACAACGTGATAAAAATTACTAAACAGATTGGTGATTTTTGAAAAATTATTGAAACTATATTTTAGTAATTAATATCTACCATAATCAGAATAGCTCGGATACAATTCTTCGTAATACATGTCTCACAACTACCATGATTTTAAATTCTAAGAGAAAATTCTCTCTGTGTAATCTTTTGTTCCTTGAGAGTTGATATTTTGCTCGGATGATTTCAGATTGTATATTATCACCCATTATTTGTTCGAAATCAGGTTACATCGTACGACATCTTCGAAAGTAATCACTCGAGAACGAATTGCGCGCTCGAGCGTGTGGCAACAGCGGACCTGCCACTTCCGTGGCGATAAGCCGGATATATTTATATCCGGTTTGTTTCATTTTTTTGACGCTTCGACGGTTAATCGAGGCACATTTCGAGTTAATCGGGCGGCATCCCCGCGCTAAAGTGTCTGTGAGTTACCGACGCAAAGCCGATTTCGGCGGCTTGAAAGTCGCTCTCGCGCGCGACGACTCTCGGCGAGGCAATCCCGTCGGGGACACGAAGCTGATCGAAATCGATGGCGCGTGCGATTTGAGAACCGGCTGGGGTAGCGCGTGTAAATAAAGCGTCGAACGTTTACAATGTAGGAAGAGGGTTGGACGAGAAAGGACGACACACGCGCGCGGCGGACGGGCCGACGCCGACGTCGACGGACTCCGCCGCAGCCCCGCATGTCACTCGGTTTAACCGCATGTCAGTCGATATCATCGCACCGAGTGGAAATCTCTGCTATTGACAAGCACATGAATATCGTTAATAATAAATAATGCCCCGCAGATCCGGCCCGGTTCTCGTTCACTCTCAGCGTCTCTTTCCCTCTCTCGCTAGGACAATCCTCGCGGCTTGCTGGCGGTGTCGGCTCGATCGAGCAATCGTGAGAGAGAGGACCGATCGAAAAGCCACTGCTCTCGTCACACGCCGACGGAGAATTGTTTTTTCAATGCCGCTCGAGTATCGCTGGGATGTGCGGTAACTCAATAATGTTACGAACACATCGATTTTCTTCATCCTTTCTTTGTTATCGCGCGACCGATTTTGAACTACCGTAGTGTTTTTGTCCGCTAGATAGCATGCTTGCGGTATGGCACGCTCTATAGAGAAACGATGCACATATCGTAGGCAACATTGATTATTCCCGATAGCCGGCGAACTGGGAGAAGGACTATCTGGCCGCATTTTCGAGCTACACGTCGCCGAACGAAGAGCAAAGGGAACCGATATCGCGTCCCGTGAATGCGGGCGATACATTAATCACGCACTATTGGAAGCACGAGCGATAATCGGGATTTAATTGACACGCGGATATGCCTTGATTTAAAAATGCAGTCGTTGTCCGACTGCACATCGCGATCGCGCTCGTTCGCACGGCTCCGAACGGCGTCGGAGTCGGAGATACCCGAGGCTACTCTATTCCGCAGGGTGTAGTGCCGTAACGTAATTAACTTTTTGCGTAATACCACCGGTAATGCGAAAGGAAATTGCGGGAATTAATTAAGACGGCGCTGTGCGCCGAGGACTGCACGGCTATCTCATCTGACCGAGTGTACGATACATACACGCGCGCGTTATGCACCTTCATCCAGTTCCGGACAGGAGCGTTCGTATAAAAGGAGCCGTTCGCGCAACGTATATGTCCCGAGGGCGGCGCGCCTAGAAGCCGATGAATATGCAGATGGTCTTTCTTTCTGCTTCGATCTCTCTCTCGTCAGCCGCTCTTTCGGTCGCTCCCTCTGGCTTTCATCTATGTCGACGGTTCGACCAAATAAGTACACGAGAAACGAGAAGAGGAGGGAGGGAGGAAGGGAGGGCGGGAGGGCGGGAGGGAGGGAGGGAGGGAGGGAGGGAGCAGAACTCGTAACTTGGAGAAAAAATTCTTTGCATTTTTAACGCGTTCCATCACCGAGCACACGCGTGTCCACGTCGACGAGCGAATTTCATCTATCGGTGTCGCTCGTCCGTTCTGCGATTTTTGAGCGTTACACCGTGATCCACACCATTATGTGAGCCGTTAGGGCGTATGCGCTGCTATGCCGGGAACCTGTTTTGTCTATGTTCCACGGCGAGGAAGTTCGCCCGCGGTACATACGCCTCAAGGGCTGTTCCGTTAAGATCCGATGAATATGTAGATTCCATTCGCCTGTGCTCGTCCGCCGCTTCTCCCGTCTCTCCCTTCGATTCTGATACGTTTCTCGAAGGCGTAGTCCGTCTCGGCTGAAACTGCAGTTCTATCTTGTTACTGGGTTAGAATAATGCGAAGCAGGGAAAACGCCAACGTAATTGCATTTTTTTTGCGTAGCGCAGAATGAAATTGTAGCGCAGTCATTATATTTGTAGCAATCTAATTTTGTTTCCATTGTGCGATGCATAAAATATATTGTGACATACACTGGCGTAGAAATAGATTTTAATTGTTAACGCGATTTGATATCCCGACATGATATTACATAATATGTAACGTCTGATAGTATAAGTAATAACTCGGATGCGCCGTCAACAGCGCCATTAAATAAATTGTTCTAATCAAATTTCATCGCGGACGCATATAGTTCCTATCACCAAACAGCACTCTGACGTACCTTATTTCCGAGCATTACATATGTATACGCGTTTTACATATTACATGTCATCTCCGGTGGTGTCATGTTTACAGAGTGCTCCGGCAAAGAGCAGGAAACGTTACAATATATAGAACTCGCGGGGAAAAGACGAAAGACGGCGCAGCTTCTTTTCCTCCCGTTCGCTCCCGAAATCGCGCCGGAAGGAAAGGGCTCCTGCATTATGCAAAGTGACATATCGCGGCGTGTGCCGGAGAGACGGAACAAAACGCGCGCATTGTACTCGCGACGCGCATTCTCGCGTAAGGTTCATAGGTCTTGTTGTTGGTGTTCGTGCTCGCGAGAAAGAGCGGGACGTTTTTCGCTGGTGAACCCGCGACGATCTCGGCGAGAAAGAGAAAGAAGCGACAGAAACGGAGGGGTGGAGATCTCTGGTACTTATGGAATAGTATATTACACTACAAGGGCAGAAAGTTGAGATTCCTCGGCTTCGCCTCGGGCATCATGGCGCGCAGTTCAGGGCTCTCAACTTTTTGCCCATGTAGTGTATACTATTTTTCTCAATACTAGGCCGAAAGTACGAATGAAATTGCATTCGTGTGTTAAATGATATTGATGCCTGCCCCGACATTTGCTGCACGAGCGAAGCGAGTGCTGCTGGTCGGGGGCAGGCTTCAAATCAAATACATCTAAATAAATAAATGTAGTTATTTTTCTGGAATACTTATTTTTTATTAATTTGTAAAACGAACTTTTATTATAGTTTTATGAAGCTTGGTCATTATTTTGCGAGTAATAAAAATTATTAACAATATTGCCATGAAACACACAATTTTCATATTTTATACTTGAATCTTTGATTTTAGCTGAATGAGTAGAAGTTAAATCTGATGCCTGGTTATCCCTTTCAGTTGTTTCAAATTTATTTCTTTTTATTGGTGGTTTATTTTCTTTCTGACAGTGAACAACAGAGATCGGTGGTTTGTTCATGAAATGCGTTGGCTTGATTGATTCACTATTAGCATTTACAACTATTTTTCTCTTGCTCCCGGCATAAAAAAATGTTGGTGACTGTTTTGACTGTCCTGGTAGAATCAGTTCTTTTGGTAAAGTAGGTTCTTTTGGTAAAATCGATTCTTCTGGTGGAATCAATTTCTCTAGCTCTGCTAAAGCGTCATTATCAACTTCGAACTCTTCATGAAAATCATCATAACCAATTTCTAATGGAATAGACGCTTCATTTCTATCAATCCCTATTGCACTAGCTGCACTGTTCTTACTCGTCGATGGTTGAGGGTTTGACTGAGCATTAGATGTGGAAGCATTGGATGTGGCTGCATGAGTTATGTTGTCAAAAATTTGTTGCCTGTTCTTTAAGGAATTTTGAACATATGCTGTAAAAAAAAATATTATGATAAGTATTTATTAAAAAAAATGTAATATTGAAGTATAAGTTTGTATTTTATAGAGTTGGATAATTTTTTTTTATTAAATAAAAGCATTACTTTGTGCTATCTCAGTCGATTTCCACCCTCCCAACTGTTTGAGCATAGTTGTGTTTGCGCCAGAGTTAGACAAAAGTGTTGCCGACGTTCGTCGGAAGCAGTGTCCAGTATATCGTTTCGGATTATTTAACTCTAAATATTCAGCAATATTTTTAGGAATAAGACCAATAGTGTTTCTTCCGATTACTTGGCGCTGGCATTTACCCTTATGGTATTGAATAAAAAATCTTTCAGTAGTAAAATCAGTAGGCTTCAATGATATGTACTTCTTGACTCTTTCATAAAAAAGGCCTCCGATTACAAATTGACGAGCGAGTCCATTTTTCGAATCACTTATAGTAACAAAGTATTTATTACCTAGATCTTCTACATCGGCAACTCCAAGATCTTTAAGCTCTTTACATCTACCCGCGAAAAACGATTGTATTAAAACCGTATTAAAAGCTTATATGAATTTATTAAGAATCTTATTAGAATCGAATATGCAAATCAATTATAATTTAAATATGTCATATTTAAATCAAATTAAAGTACCCCATCTTATTTAATCTATATATGGATTAAACTGGACCTTGCTTTGTTAAAGTATGCAAAATCAGCCGCACAGACCTAAGAAAATGCAAAGTTAATATGGTTTTAATTTGCCAAATGTGGATTAAATATGGTAATAAATTCAAAATTAATTTGTTAAATATAATCATATAAGTCAAATATAATCATATATAAGTCAAATATAAGTCAAATATAATCATATAAGTCAAATATAATCATATAAGTCAAATTTGTCATATAAGTCAAATTTGTCATATATAAATGTTATTTGATCTTATTAGAATTTTATATAATTTTGTTTTAAATTTAAATTTATACCAATTTGTAAATTTAAACAAGATTATATAAAATTTTATTTTTTAAGCGTGCTACTTTATTATAAGAGTGGACTTCACGATATAACTGATACAAAAATTGTGTCGTTCCGAGACAGTGTCGTGTCTTTTTGATACCGTTATCTTATAACACTCTTTGTCAAATTTTAATTACGAGAAACAGATCACATCGAATGCCATCTATCGGATACTTTGAGATGCAATATTCTGATCTGATCATATATAATCTTATATGACTATATTATTTTTTTTTTAATTTAAATCAAATATTTTACATGTTAAGTTCGACAAATAAAGAAACAAATTTTACCGCAAATATTATTTAAACATTATTTAAACAAAAATACGTTTTAATAAGAATCAAATTAAAACCAAAGGGCCTAGCGGAGTAAGCATGTGAAATCGGCTCTTGATCATACAGAGCTGACATTAATGTCACAAGTTAGTACCAATATGATAAAACTTTCCACCAAATATTATTTTAAAAAATCCACTTTTTTAGAAGTTATGCAGGGAGAAAGTAAAATAAAGAAATGTATTTTTCTCGAAAACCACTTGACCGATCTTGATGAAAAAAATATATGTTATGTAGACTAATAAAACTAATTAACAAAAAAAATGTCCAAAATGTTTGCCAAAAAAAGACCAAAAAAAAATATTTAAATTTTTAAATATTTTTTTTAGGGTGATATTTTCGAGGTACCCCTTTGAAATTTTTACGAAAATTTCTCTTAAAGTGTCCACTATAACATATATTTTTTTCAATTTTTTTTAAATAGTGGAACATAGTTAAAAATACGAAAATCGTAAGCGTCGCGTCACTCCGGCGCACAGTGCAGTGCCATTCCGCGTTGCGGGTGTTCGAAGTAACTAGCACATATGTACGTCTGCAATTAGCCTATAATATGTATACTTTTTAATTTTTATAGTTTCCAGAGTTTACCACGTGGAGGTTGCAGTACGGTTTTAAACTCCTTATTGGGGTGCTTTTTTAACGTGAGTCCCCTCGCCTCTCACTATATTTCCGTAAAATCAGGGTGCTTTTTTAACGTGAGTCCCCTCGCCTTTCACTACGTTTCCGTAAAATGAGGGTGCTTTTTTAACGTGAGTCCCTTCGCCTCTCACTACGTTTCCGTAAAATCGGGGTGCTTTTTTAACGTGAGTCCCCTCGCCTTTCACTACGTTTCCGTAAAATCAGGGTGCTTTTTTAACGTGAGTCTCTTTGCCTCTCACTACGTTTCCGTAAAATCGGGGTACTTTTTTAACGTGAGTCCCCTCGCCTCTCACTACGTTTCCGTAAAATCAGGGTGCTTTTTGAATGTAAGACCCCTCGCTTCTCATTGACAGCAGCATCCAATTGTTCGTAGCCCATTAGCGATCTGTTTAAGAAAACAAATAACATTCCAGTAATAGACAGTGATAGTGAAGAAGATTAAATAAATCGTAGGTGTAGGCTGTAATAAGAGACGAGGGGTCTTACATTCAAAAAGCACCCCAATTTTACGGAAACGTAGTGAGAGGCAAAGGGACTCACGTTAAAAAAGCACCCTGATTTTACGGAAACGTAGTGAAAGGCGAGGGGACTCACGTTAAAAAAGCACCCCAATAAGGAGTTTAAAACCGTACTGCAACCTCCACGTGGTAAACTCTGAAAACTATAAAATTTAAAAAGTATACATATTATAGGCTAATTGCAGACGTACATATGTGCTAGTAAAGTTACATCGAACACCCGCAACGCGGAATGGCACTGCACTGTGCGCCGGAGTGACGCGACGCTTATACGATTTTCGTATTTTTAACTATGTTCCACTATTTAAAAAAAATTGAAAAAAATATAAGTTATAGTGGACACTTTAAGAGAAATTTTCGTAAAAATTTCAAAGGGGTACCTCGAAAATATCACCCTAAAAAAAAAATATTTAAAAATTCAAATATTTTTTTTGGTCTTTTTTTTGGCAAACATTTTGGACATTTTTTTTGTTAATTAGTTTTATTAGTCTACATAACATATATTTTTTTCATCAAGATCGGTCAAGTGGTTTTCGAGAAAAATATATTTCTTTATTTTAATTTCTCCTTGCATAACTTCTAAAAAAATGAATTTTTTAAAATAATATTTGGTGGAAAGTTTTATCATATTGGTACTAACTTGTGACATTAATGTCAGCTCTGTATGATCAAGGGCCGATTTCACATGCTTACTCCGCTAGGCCCTTTGGGTTAAAGCCGCAATTGAATCGAGTAAAAGTCGCATACAGAACACATTAACTTTTTATTAAAATCTTATATATAAATATTCTGCATCATGTATGGTTCTGGATCATATATAATCCACATAAGTTATCTTATTAAATACAAATTAAAACCATATTTGATTCGAAGTGTATATGATCCACATAAGTGATCTAATTAAATTTTAATTAAAGCCCTATTTTATTGTGGATCATATTTAATCTACATAACTGATTTTAATAAGTGCAAATTAAAACTGTATTTAAACAAATATAATTTTAATATAAAATCTGGATTTAATTTGAATTTTACCCAAATTAAATATGATTTAATATGATTTTAGTTAGATTCATATTAGATCGTTTTTCGCGGGTAGTAGCTCCACAAATACCAAAGATCAGAATAACCTTCAAATATAAAAGTAAAGATAGAAAATTACAAATTAGCTAAATAATTAATAAAAATGTAAATAAATACATACTTTTAATCCTAAATATTGGTGATCCGGCGCATCATTCATGAACTTCATAATTTCATCCCATGTGAACACAGCAGATTTCTTTGGTTTATAACCTTTGGCTTTATTTTTAATTATATTTATTAACTTTTAATACTTGCTTAAATCAATGTTCTCTCTTGTGTATAATATGTTTTTCAACATTGAGTACACACTCCACAACGTTGCCGGACTTAACCTTGTTTGTAAACTTTGAAAATATACTATAAGATTATCTTCTTCGGATTGTGACAATGCATTTTTATGTTCCGTTTTCCATTTTTTATATGTTTCGTACACAAGTAGGTATCTCTCGGCAGATTTCTTAGGTAAGGTGTCAGTTTCAATAATTAATTGCGCTTCGGCTTCAAAATTTCTGTTAACTTCATCTTCATCTGATGATTCATCGGATGATTCATTTGCACTCATAATTGTAGTAATAGCAATTTTTATTATGCACAATTCACAAAATTAGATAACTGTCAAATATTGGCATACATCAATTGTAAATAAATTTTAAGGTTAGAAATCAAGAGTAGTTAGCGGAGTGTGGTTAGAATGTTAATACAGAAGATAGAGGTTCTACTGTATGATGGGAACTTCTTTTATTGTATTAATGCGCGCGAATAAGTTTCTATGTAACAGAGTGAGCGACTCTCGACTTTCGGCCGTCTTGTGTATTGTGTATGTACCAGTCTCATCAGTGTATGAGTAATTTCTTTCGGCCCGCTGTCGCAGAGCGCATGCGCGACACTATCACGGCATAAAAGTTAAGGCCCTTGCACAATGCTAGGCAACAGGCAATAGGAACAGGGAATAGAAATAAGGAATAAGGAATTATCGCCTCCAGTGCACAATGACGCAATAGCGACAAGAACCAACCAATTAGAACTTTCGAATTTTGTCGGCTGCTTCCTAGTTTAGACTGATCCAAGTGAACATAACCCAATTCTCTTGTATTTTGAATTCTTGCTGAGAATTAAATATTAGTGCGTTTTAAGGCTTTCGTTGAAGAGTAAGTGAAATATATATTATGAAATATATAATATAGAATTATATATATATATATATATATATATATATTTATATATATAAAATTCTGTATTATATTATTATATATGGTTTTATTACTATAATAATATTTTCATTAACATCTTTTTTAGATCATGTGCTATGGATGACGAAAACATGATGTTATTTATCTGTGCAATGCAATTAGTAGCTAGCCTAGCATTGTACACTGCATGGAAAGCGGAAAAATCCAAGCGTTGGAGGAACAGGCGATGGTGGGTCCGTCCCATCAATACTCGGCGTGCACAGTACGGTGACTTCGCAACTTTGTTTGCAGAATTAAAAGAAGATGAAGATATGTTTTTCCGATATACGAGAATGGATGTGCCCACATTTTACGAATTGCTGCGACTAGTAGGTCCGTTCTTGCAGAAAGGAAGTATTAGAGCCCCGATATGTCCAGAACAACGTCTAGCAATAACTCTAAGGTAAAGCTATATATGTTTTAAAATGATACATAATATATTTCATGCACGAATTGAGTTTTTGAAAGGTTATCAATTAACTTTATTGCAGATATTTGGCAACAGGGGATCAGATGCTATCTGTAGCTTTAGCATACAGAGTAGGAGAGTCCACCGCTCATATAATTGTCAAGGAAACATGCTCTATTATAGCAAATGTTCTGATGCCAATTTGTATGAAACATCCCACAGAAGAGGAGTGGACAAAAATCAGCAGTAATTTTTTAGAATTATGGAATTTGCCAAATTGTGTTGGAGCAATCGATGGCAAGCACATAACTATCCAGGCACCTCCGAACTCTGGCTCAATGTACTTTAATTATAAGAAAACTTTCAGTCTTGTACTGATGGCTGCTTGTGATGCTCGATACATGTTTACGCTGTTCGACGTTGGTGCGTATGGCAGTGAAAGTGATGGCGGAATCCTCTCCAGATCAGACTTTGGACAATCTCTGTACAATGGTACGCTCAACATACCTGCAGGCACTGCCTGTCTACCAGGAAGTGACAAGAAAGTATCCTATTACTTTGTTGGGGATGAAGCATTTCAAATGTCTACACACGTGATGCGACCTTATCCGGGGAGAAATTTAAATGAGCAAAAAAGGATTTTTAATTATCGACTATCTCGGGCTAGAAGAACGATTGAAAACACATTTGGAATCTTTGCAGCCAGGTGGAGGATATTTCGAAGAACAATATGTGCTGGTCCAGATGCTGCCAGCCGGTTTGTGCTAGCAGCAATGTGCTTGCATAATTTTTTAAAAACTAAAAACGACGAAAAAGCCCCGCTGCAGCAAAGGTATTGTCATCCCCAATTTGCAGATAGAGAAAACGGAAGAAGGAAATTTAATCGAAGGAGAGTGGAGACAACAGTCACAAGATAATCATATAAGACCCATGGGGAATGCAGGAGCACATCGAGCTACTAGAGACGCATATGCAATGCGTGATACTCTCTCGTCATACTTCATGACAGCAGCTGGGGAAGTTCCTTGGCAATATGAGTACATACATCGAGGGCAACATCACGATGTACTTTAAAATTTATAATTGTATCGCTTTCTATACATTTTTATATACATTTTTATATGTGTGATGACTAATTGTATTCTCTGGTAAGACATAACAGTATGAAAAGCACTGTAGATACACTTTTGTATGCAGAAAATAAAATTGTTCTTTTATTGGAAACCTAATAAACATTTATTTCTAATCAACTAGTGTAAATAAAATTAATCCTCTGCAATGCTCAAAATTAAAATTGTAATTATATATAATAATGAATAAAATATATAATATAATATAAAATATTGAAAAAAACAAACATTTATAAATGTAATAAAAAAAGAAGAGGAAGAATTTCTGAGCGACAAATTCGATCTAAACTCCTTTCTTTTCTTTGAAATATTTAACGTGCCGTCAACCATTGGACCACTAGGGTCCTTAATTTAAAGTTATATGGCACTTAACTCAAAAAATGCCTCAATCTTTTCATCTTTTACGAATCTTAAGCCTTGCAGATTGTGAATCCTTTCCGATTCCCAATCGTGCAGACCATTAATCCATAAGGATCTTAATCGGGAAAGTATCACGCGTCATCCCTATCTAAACTTATTTAACTTAAGATTAGGTTACATGGTTTTTGAAAAATATAGCAACTCCATAAATTTTCGTTTTAACTCGCTTTTGTATGGTTCTGTTGCTGTTTGAAGCTCCGCTGTGACGAGTTTTCCAATGACAACATCTGGATCGTTGTCGTTTACAGGTTTTTTCCGAGAACACATTTCAGCTATATTACTCAGTGTATTGTTCATCTGATGGAACGCTATTTCCACCGGGTTGATCTTCTGCTTTTTAAAAGTCCTTTGCATGTTTCCCGAAAAGCAGGAGGATGGTGGACTCACCACATTCGTTTCCTCCGTCTCCGAAGCAGGTGTTTGGCGCGAAATTGAGGAAGATGTCGATGACTGCAAAGAAATTTTGAATTTCATAAGTTTTACACTTTCTTAGGATCAATTGATTACATAAGATGCAAAACCACTCACCAGTGAAGTTTCTTCAACTGCAAGTGGCGGAAGGCTTTGCAACGGCGAGGGTGGCCGTAACTAGAAAGTTAAAAACATCGATTAAATGTATAAATATTATTTCGTACATATTTTCTATTGATTCAAAATTAGACTCACGTCATGACCAAGTTTCGAGTTAGAAATAGATTGATTTTCATAAACCGACTTTGGCAATGTGTTGCATACTTCTTTCGACGGCAGTGTATACAAAGACTGCTGGCCGGATGTTGAAAGTGGTGTCTGTAAAGTGAGTTTTCAAAACATACTTTTCAAGTAAGATAACACATTGGTAAAAAAAAGAAAAGTTGTCGTACAT